GCTCTGCGATTTTCGCCCATTGGGGCCATCGCTGTGCGATCGCATTAGCGATTGCAAAAGCGTCCTCGTAGAGCGAATTCATCGCTCTACGAGGCGCTCGTTGTACGAGGCACCACTGTACTTTGATTAGCCAGGCCAGGCAAGGGCCAAGGGAAGAGGTGGTAATGGTAAAGACTTTTAAAAGACTATCTTGGATTGTGTTTAAAGGAGTAGTGGGATCATAACCATATACAGTGGTGTCTCACTTAGCGATGTTAATCCGTTCCGGAAAAAACATCGCTAAGTGATTTAATTGTTAAGCGATATTAAAAAGCCCATAGGAACGTATTAAAACACGTTTAATACGTTCCTATGGGCTAAAAACTTACCTTAAAGCGAAATTCCTCCATAGCGGTGACCATTTTGGGTGCCTCTAAAGCGAGGCAAAACAGCTGCGGCCATTTTGTTTTTGCGGCGGCCATTTTGGAACCACCAATCAGCTATTTAAAAAAGTTCGCTTTGCCATGATCGCTTCCCGGTGATCATCGCAAAACGAATTTTAGCCATAGGGGCCATTGCTAAGCGATCGCTCCAGCAATGGCCAAAAGTCCAACGCAAAGCGATCTCATCGCTCAACGGAGCGATCGCTAAGCGAGGCACCACTGTAGTCAAAATGGAGAAGGCTCAGAGTAGCTTCATTAAGGTGAACATAACATGCAACTATAATTACAGACTGGCTTTGAAAATATATGATGCTATGTGATCTTGAGTTCTACTGTACATCATGGCATTTTGGACTTTAATACTGTTATATAACAGGTAATGGTAGTAGTATATATAGAAAAGTTAGAAATATTTAAAAGGTGGATTTGTTACAGGATATGAAGAAGTTTTTTGGATCAAGAAGGTGACCAGTAAAGATGTTCTAAAATGAAGACCAAGTTGTCATAAGATATGTGCAAATAGCTGGAATACTTTAGTTGTGTAAATAGGATACAGAAAACACAGGGCAAATTCTGTTGTATAACTTTGTGCCTGGAATAACTCAGCTAAGGTGTGCAAATTCCCCCACTCCACATCACTGGCCTTAGGTTTCTAAGGGGTTGATGGGCACAAGGAGTGGAAAGAGCCTCCAGTGTATTCCTTCTTTTTCTTGTCAAGCCAAATAAAATTGACAATTAGTGTAAATAATTAGGAAAAAAATGGGCTGCCTAAGTGATGTTGAAGGTTTTGTTTTTGTTTTTTAAAGTAAGTATCTCAAAACAGAAGATGCTGCTGTGAAAGTTTGGCACTGGTAGTGTGATGACAAAAATTAGATTTAGGCAGGAAGATGCCCAAAGTGTTTTTGTGTTGCCAGCCAATGAAGCATTCATCTTTTGTTTTTCTATACACCAGTCTTCCCCTGTCTCCCCCCATTGCAAATGCTATTCCGCCTTTGAGACAGATAGGACTTCGTAAAGGATTTTCTGATACTCCACTGGTGCCTGCTGTTTCTTAAAAAATCAAAACATACCATTAAACACAGATTCTGGCTATTGGAGAGTTCTCTAGACAAGTTAAGTTGCAGCAAAATAAAATGGCAGGCCTTGAACCGATAATCCTGTGCAAGTGGGTAATCCACAAATGGAAAGAATGATTAAGCTCTGGTCCTATCAGGAAGACATTCATTAACTTCTTTGTTAGTGTGTTGACAAGAGCCCTGTTTGGTTGTTACCTATTCATTTGTTATCAACATGCATAGATAGAAAGGAGCAATTAGCCTTTCCCCTCCCTGGAGAATTTGGATTCTTGTTCAAATGTATGTGCAGGAGTTTCTGTTTTAAAGACATTTTATTGTCTACATGGAAAAAGCAGCGACAGATTATGTAGGGGATAGTTGCTCCTCTGAACATTTTGATAGCATCCAGGTAGATAATGACTGAATAGTGCTAAGCTTTGTTTCACTTAGATTCATTATGAAATTTAACTTCTGTCTTAAAAGTGTAATTTGTGTCTGTTGAATACCAGTCAAATCAGCATGTTTACTTAAACCCAGGCCATTGCTCCAGTTGAAATATTGAAGTTCTGAAGATATTCAAACTGAGTTTTATAGACTGCATAAACTTGTTTTACACTTAAGTCAACTTTTTATTGCTATTGCCTCTGAGAAAGGGTAGTCAGATCAGTAACCTGGTCCAACATGATAGTACTCCTGTGTCTGAAACAATACAGCTTTAATTACAATTGTAAGCAAAATTTTTCTTTGTTTTTTCTTCTTTTGGAACAGTGGTTAATATTGTCTAAGTGGGCTCAGGGTAAAGAGGACATGAAGGGTATTCACATCCTTTACTGGTATAAAATGACAAATACTTGCCATTACTTGTGATATTTTAAGGGTTTATGGTATGTTGCTAATACGTTTAATAGTGATTGATCAAATTTATATTTGTAAAAATAGACTTAGAAACATGTGAGAATTCTATTACTGATTTTTAGATATTCCTACCTGTTTTAGCTTAATTAGATCCCACAGAGTCTTTCTAAGAAGCATCAAACTACTAGGATGCTAGATCCTAATAATGATCTATTTTCCCCCTGGTAGTAAAACAAAGACATCCTCGCATTAAAGATATCAAGAGAGTGGGTTACTTGGAAAGGGTCAGTTAAAGTTTTCAAAATAATCATTTCATGTGTCTTTTGTGGACATCTCCCTTTTATGCTCCTATTCACTGTCTTCCAGAAAGGAGAATGGGGGGCAAAGAAGCAGAAGGATATATTTACTTTTTCTTTAAATGTTTCACTCTGATCTTGAAGAGAGGGAGCTGGTAATTATAATTTGGAAATGTTAAAGTAAATCTTACGATATGTTAAAAATTGTCATTTTTTAATAAAAAAGCAATAAGCATTGTAAAATTTAAAACAATATAAAAATGTCTTGTATTTAATTAATCCAGTAGGGTATATTCTTGCAACTCCAAAAGTACGATGTCATCCAGCGAGTAATCTTATCTGAATATCATTGTTAGGGAATTTCTCTCTTCATATATTGAATGTTTTAATTGGTCTAATTTTGTTCCCCAAAATATTTTAGGTCCTTCACAAAGTGCCCCGGGACCTCAATATTCCAATTATCCTCAAGGGCAAGGTCAGCAGTATGGAGGATATCGGCCTACACAGCCTGGACCCCCACAGCCGCCACAGCAGAGGCCTTATGGATATGACCAGGTATATTTCTATGTTTTATTAAAATGTTGCGCATTTTGGATTTTATATACATATTGATCTTCAAGAGTGAGATAAAATTAAGCACCAGATATGTGTGTGTTTATATTTATCCCTTTAAGCTTTTCTAATATTTGCAAGGTTAACACTGTAATAGCATTTTAGTTCTGAACTTTGTAATTGTAGGAGAATTGTTTTGAAAGCTGGTGATTTGAGCAGTTATCAGGATGAGTGTGCATTGCTATCATATAGCAAATGCCCCTCAGCATAAATTGCTGTTAGCATATACTTTTGTAGTGCATCAAGTTGATGAAGTACAACATTAGAGCAGCTACCTTTCTGACTTTTCTTCCAACTTTTAATTTTATAAGGCTAGGAAACACAGAGAATCAGGATGTGTCGCTCAGCAACTGTATTTAGAAACCTTTTCTAGGCAGGTAGAAAGTGTTCAGAGTGTCTTATATATGACAATAAAACCAAGAGATCACATAATAGTAATTAAAACACTAAGTGAAAATGTCAGAGGAATAAGCCAAAGGCATATTGAAATCTAAAACTAGTTTTACATCCTCCTAAAAACTAGGCAGAAAGAGTGCCTTCTCACTATAGCAAGTAACTTTTCAGAGAAATAGGGGTTAGTGTGATAAAGACACATCTAGATGATGTTACATTGGTTAGACATAATAAAGGACGTATAGTGAAGGATCTCATTTCTTGACTGTACCTGATGCATGCTTTGACATAGGAAGGGATGGTGTTCCATTGATATCTAGATCCCAAGGAAAACAGGAGAGTAAAGGTCAAAGGAGAATACAGTAGTGCCTCGCATAACGTTTGCTTCGTTTAACGTTTTTTTCGCTTAACGTTTATTTTTTCAGAGTCAGATTGTGCTTTGTATAACGTTTTTCCCTATGGGCGATTTTCACATAGCGATTTTGGGACCATGCTTCGCTTAACGTTTTTGGTTTTAGGTCCCCTGCTTCACTTAACGATGTTCATTTTTTCAATTACAAAAGTGTCTTAACATGTTGAAAAACGGTTTTAAATGCTTGGAATCGTTAGTGCACCTTCTAAAATGTGTGCATACTTAATTTGGCGTTGATCTGACTTTTCGTTAATTTTTTGTGAATTTTTTTCTCCCCCATAGGAAACAATGGAGCTGTCAGATTTTGACAGCTGTCAAAAGTTGGGGGGAAAAAATTCACCATAAATTAACGAAAAGTCAGATCAAAGCCAAATTAACTTTTGCATCCGTTTTAGAGGGTGCAGAAGCTAATCCAAGCATTTAAAACCATTTTTGACCCTTTTATGACACACTTAAATTTGCAAAAATTGACTTCGCAAAGCCATTGAAATGTATTGAGTCGGCTTCAATACATTCCAATGGAGGAAACATTGTATCGTTTAACAATGTTTCCTATGGGTTTTTTCGCTTAAGGACGCCAATCCGTGCCTATTGGAACGGATTAACCGGTTTCCAATGCATTCCTATGGGAAATGGTGTTTCGCATAAAGTTTTTTTCGCATAAGGTTTTTTTTTTTGGAACCAATTAAAAATGTTATGCGAGGCACCACTGTATTGTATACTGAACTTCCCAGTTAGAGAAATGCAGTGAGTCTTGTGTTCTCATAATGTGCTCAGAGTACAATAGCCTCAGTTAAGTCATTTTTGCTTTTAAAGAGAATTCAGGCTTGATTTCATCTACTTATTTATCTTTCTAGCAGTTCATGACAGTGGTCAAACTCTCCTCCAACACTTTATTTCATGAATTGATTTTTTTATATTCTCGAAGGCTTTCATGGCTGCGATCCAATGGTTGTTGTAGGTTTATCAGGCTGTTTGGCCGTGTTATGGAAGTTTTCTTCCTAATGTTTCAGCAGTCTCTGGCTGGCATCTTCAGAGGACAGGAATTAGAACTCGTTCTGGTGTAGTATGTGGGGTAGTTGACTATTTGTAGCTGTGGAATCAGCTTTTTATCCTTTTCAAGAGATTGGGTGATTATGGTGATCCGGGTCTTTTCTAACTGCTGTCCTCTGAAGATGCCGGCCACAGAGACTGGCGAAACGTTAGAAAGAAAAACCTCCAGAGCACAGCCAAAAAGCCCGAAAAACCTACAACAATCATTGAATTGATTTTTTGCTGTTTGCTACATTTTGTGTTGGACATGAATGACCAAATCTTGTAATCACAGTGAATCTACAAGAAAGTACATGTGGTTCTTTTTTGGGTGTTCTTGGCTATTGGAAAATGTACATAGGATAATAAATAAAATACTTAATATATTACAGCGTAGATTAGAAGAGGAACTAAAAAAAGAAGCTGATGCTCCTATCCTTGATGTGTGAATTTCTAGAAGATGCAGGTCATCTGTACTTAATTTTTCAGTATTCCAATGAGAGAGAGAGAGACGTCTTACTGGAATACTAAAAAAATATTACACACAGACACATATAAGAACAGTGGTGCCTCGCTAGACGATGATAATCCATTCCACTGAAATTGTTGTTTAGTGAAATCATTGTCTAGCGAAAAGCATTTCCCTGTTGGAATGCATTGAAACCTGTTTAATGCGTTCCAATGGGGAAGAATCGTCGTTGTCTAGCGAAGATCGACCATAGGAAAGCCGCTTTGCAAACCACTGATCAGCTGTTTAAATAGCTGTCTTGCGAAGCTTAGGTCCCGAAAACACCCGTTTTGCGAGCACGGAGGGAGCTGTCAAAATCATTGTCTAGCGAAAATCGGTTTGCGAAGCAGGGACCAAACATTATCCAGCAAAATTTCCCCATAGGAATCACCGTTTTGCGAATCGCTATAGTGATTGCAAAAAGTCAATGTCTAGCGAAAACTGTCATGCAGGGTAACTGTCTAGCGAGGCACCACTGAAGTTTATTTTAATGTTTTTGTCATTATTCTTTTTCAAATTTGAGCATTTATTCATGTGGAAATTCATATTTTTTGCATTTAAGTTTTGCACTCACCCATGATTCTGCTACTGTCAGTGACACTGCATAAGTAGCTGTAGTTATGCATGCTTTTGTAATTTACAGGCTGGATTATTGCAGTATGGTGTAGGCCAAGGTGCAGCCAATGGGTCTATTTATACTTATTAAAAAGCACTTATTACTGCTTAGATTTTTGAAAAATTAAATTATGTTTAAGAATAGTAAAGCATACATGATATATGCAAAATTCAAATATGCAATACAATGCAAAAAATAGTGAAAATATAAAATACAAACGCTGACATACAGCATTTAGATCTCTGTGAAATAGATATCAAATCAGAGTCTATAGAATTGGTCTAAATTAATAAGTTTTCCACATATGTCCAAAACAAAAATTGTAGATGTATGTTGTGTTTGTGAAGGAAAGGCATTCCACATAGCAGGTGCCTTGTTCTTGACAATTGCAGAGTAACTTGAAGAGCTGATGGCATCACTGGGAGGACCTCTCTAGATCACCTTAAGGACCATGTAGACCTATAAAGAAAAAGATACCACCACTGGTGTTTGTGGCTCATAGATCCCTGCTTGGCCTCTGGTGCCCCCACTGTATTGGAAAAAAATCAATAAAGGACAGCACAAAAATGAATTGTTAAAAGCAAGGCATGGCCATTTTGCCTTAAAAATATGGTGATTTCCCCTAAAAACAAGGGATGCCACCCACCCCATTTAGTAGACCCTCAAGAGAACACTTGAGGAAGCACAGGGCCTTGTGCACCAACCTTATTTCCAACAGTTGCATGTGTACCAACTACAGACTTCTCCCATTGAGCAGAAAGGGTTGAAGTCAAATTCTAAGTATAAAGCAGAGTATAAGCAGCAGCCTCCAGATGACTGGTAATCCTGATTTTATAGAGATTCTGCCTATGTGGTGGATATTAATAAAAATGTTTTTGCTAGTTTAAAAATAAAATAGCAGTGTTGGGGGGGATGTTGCGGGGGCCACATTTGGGTTTCTAGACATGCCTATGGCCCACCCCTGCACTAGGCAAAGATCATTTTCTCTTCCCCAATTTTTAAGCAATTGGGGTAATAGTCTTCTACTGTTGTGCTATTTCTGTCCTGTGGAGTTGGTTGCTGCTTTATTATAAGTTACACTGCAGAGCGCTATTGCTGAAAATCTGGGTAGAATCCTGAGTTCTTTTTGTGAATGTATGAGTATCATGGCCAGAGTGCTCTGCTTGAACCGTGATGATCTCTGGCTTATACAATGTGCTGCTTTAAAGAAGACATTCTCCTCATCCAAGGGGTTACAAGATTCTGTCTTGGGCAAACAGTGGACAGGGATGAGCTGTACACAGAAACTGAATGTTGCATAGTACATTTCCTGGCCATATTGGCCATAGAAATAAATGTATTCAACCTGATGATTCTATTGGAAGAAAGTGAATACTTTTTCTGAAAACTGACACTGGAAATTTAGATGTTGAGTGTCTACCAACTTTCGCCTTCTTTCAAATAGAATCAGCACATTGATTCCCTTTTTGGGGGGAACAAGAGTATACATCTGAAATTGTGAAATTATCATAAACAACCATTATATCAATTCCCGAAAGAAAAATAATTCAACATTGTGTACAAGTCTTATACTTTTAAAAGTTGTTGTTTTGTTTTAGGAAAACACAATAACTACTTTCTGTTTACTCTTTCTTTCTCGTTCTCTCTTTTTAGGGGCAATATGGAAACTATCAGCAATGAAACAATAATTTCAGTACAATAGCAAATGTGTGTTTGCAGCCATAATGTTTCTCCAGCATTGTGGACATCTCTTTTTGAAGATAAAGCTTCAATTCAGTAGTTTGGGAAGCAAAAAGCCAGCAACCCCACATTGTTGATAAATGGCTGCTTTGCAGGTGTTGCCTTCCTGGGCTAGTTATAAACAAAAATGATAGTATTTCTAAAAAATTTTGCATCTGTACTCTAGATGGCAATATTGGACAGAAAATGTATTCTCAAACAGTTTTGCTGTGAGCTTAGAACTGTACATCAAACTAACTGTTACAGACTGAAATGTGTGAACAGCATTGTATGTTTATGAAGGTTAAGGGAATTTAATATTTTTCCACAGGTTCTTTTGTAAGGGGATGGGGAAAATTTTTACAGCAGCAATATTTTATATATTATGTTTTTCATGTGGAATATGCAAGGCAGTACACTACATACTGGTAAAGGTCAGAAACCCATATAGATAGGGGATATAGATTGGGACATGATTAATTCTTCATTGTGTTGCTCTAAGTGTATTACATGAGAAGGACAGTTGTATCTCTGTACATTTGCTGCAGACCCTTGTAAGAAGAATTATATCCCAGCTATTTGAATCATGCACAATAAAGGCATAGTCATGTATAAAGAATTAATTTTGAAATATATTGTGTGAAGCTCTTTTTTAAAAATGGTTTCTAGCAGTGGAAATTTTCTGTATTATTTTTAATAGGAATTGAATTGAATTTGTAATGGTCTTATTAGCTTCACATAGAACAAACTATGATCTTTTTCTGATTTCAGTAACAAGAAATTTGAAGAAAGTGTCCATTTAACATGACTTAACTATACAAAGTGTTTCAAAACAGATTATAAATAGGCTGATGTGTGTTTTATTTCACATGTATTTAACTTTTAGTAGCCCAATTTCTATGTAACTAAAATAGTATAGAAGTTTTGTACAATTCTTGTCTAAACTTTGAGAGTTCATATCTTTAAGAAGGAAGGCATTTGTTGTTTATATCCATGTTTGTACTGGTAAATATGAGACCAAGAGCAAGTTATAGTGAGATTTTTTAAAAAAATGTCAGATTCTGTTGTGAACTGTATTAATGCTTATGACATTGCATGTGAGGTAGCCACTACCTGGATCAACATTGGAGCCAACACAGAAGACACACACTTTCAAAGACTGTCCTGATGTTAATGTTTCAGGTGCAATCTTGAATATGTGTTGCTCTGGAATACATGCATTTAGAGTATCTTGGCATCTAAGAACAGTCCAGGAGTTACATATATTCATTATATATTATGTGTTTTAAAAGGGAGACAGCGAAACTCAGTGAGACGTAAAAAGTCACATTCCTCCATAATAATAAATAGAAAACAAATTTCTTTACATTGGTTGCATATTAAAATCAAATCTTGAATTGAAAGTGAAAGGAATATCGGTATGAATGAGATTCTTTTTGGTTCTGTGCCAATTCACCACCACTGTGTACTTCATTGCTATTTAAAAGTGTATTCCATCAACTCTAGCAGACAAATAAATTATTTGTGGTCTTAATTTTCTCATTTGCAACTTTACATTAGATCTTTATTACTTTGATATTTTATTTGGAGTATTCACTATGCATTTTTCTTTTGTAGTATTTGATCCAAAATAACCACATTGTGTTTGTATTCTAGAGCTTTATCAAAATTCTAATCAAGTTCATTAGAATTAACAGTTCAGTAATCAGCATGTTGATGCATGTGAAGACTGTTTGTTGCACAACTCTTTCTGTAAATGATGGTCCATGTGGTTATAATCAAGATGACTGAATTAGATAAATGGGTTGAGACAAAAACTGCACCAATCCAACCTGGTATAGATATATTATCTCATTTAAAATAAGCTCGACTGACATTAAGAAATAATTTGTTTTTCCAGCCGATCTTCTGTTGTCTTATTCTCATTTTTAACGGAAACTAAAATTGCAGTTTTAATAAGCAGAATTTCCTCCAGGGTTTCTCTCCAAGGGAATAATGTGTTTTCAAGCTTTAATTGTTTTATAACGGTCCTATTTCATAAAAGTTTTTAATTGATGGTGACAAACATTACCTTGTTTTTCTAATATTGGCTTAAAACAACAGTTTAGAAGATACCTTTTGATGATTTGCAGTTTGTTCAGTTTGTTCTAAAATCTAAGCAAAGTAGGATGCAAAGACAAAGGCTAAATCCAGTGTGGCTCCTACTTAGAATAGGCACACTGGAATCAGAAGGACTGTGGTTCATTTTAGGTAGGATTAAAATTACCAGAAAAACTGCCAGAAGAATATTAGCAAAATGGTATAATGTCAAACATATTGCAAGTGGCTTTCCTATAGTAAATTAATCCCAATCCAAGAGAATGTAGCAGAAGAATCTTCTCCCAGAATACATGTTATACTGGGAAAAGAAATCAGATGAAACAAGTAATTTGAAACTAAATTATAATAATAAAAGGCCCTACTGGGCAAAATCCTGTTGCTTAACTTTGTGCCCGTTGCAACCCAGATTGGTGCCCAAAATACTGTACAGCATTCCACAATAAAATTCCTTTCTCCTGTCCAATTGAATTGCTAAAAGTCTGTCTAACATGGAAGGAGAGCAGGGAGGGGACCAGGCTGCTATCTTGAAGAAAAATATTCCACAGCCTTAGAACAGCCAATAAAAAGGCCCTCTTTCACATCCTTTGTGGTTCCTCCACAAAGGGTGGAGGAACCAAAGAAAGGCTGGCCCAAAGATCAACGTGACAATGGAGCAACGAAAAGATGCATAGAGTTCCTTCTAGTCATGAAAATATTTTAGATTCACTGGCTTTCTAAAATGTAATAAAACAGCTTGCCCAAGGGCTTTAAAGATACTCATATTGATCTAGTATTTTCCCCCTATGCCAGTATATCTGCTTACTTGCAGGTGTGTGGGAGCAAATATGCTTATTCATATAGTTGAACTCGGCCCTTAAACTCCTGGGTTAAATCCAGGAGCTACACTTTGACCAGAATCCAATGTTTGTGTAAGGCTTGTATAAGTTGTTACAGCTAATTGCTGAAGTGTTGGGCATGACAAGGTTGTGCACCTAGTCACACACTCGCTGCTGTCATACCCCATCAAAATGCTCTGTTTCACTTCCCTTTTTATATCTTTTGTCCATTATCTTCTAATGCTGATGTGGGTAATTAGGAACATGTCCAATTTATAGTTAACCTGATTAAATCTGTGGAGCCACTCTGAAAGTAGCAGTACCAATGGTCAGTTGTAGATTTAGCTCTCATCCTTTGGCCTGTATGGCAACATGTTTCAGTAATTGATTTGATCAGAAAGATTAAGAGTTCCTCAAAATCTTGATGTTTTCCTCATCAACGTGGCCCCTTCATTCTAATTACTATTAGCTTGAATATGCTCTTCATCTTAAAATTGGAACTTCAGCAGTCCTCTTATTTCTAAAGAAAACAAAATATAACATGTGTTGTCTTTTTATCTAATACAGAGACATTTTGACATGTTGCTGTCTTTTTATCTAATACAAAGAACTCATTATGTACTCCTAGCACTAGTTTAAGTCTTATTTTTGTAGTGGAGCTGAAATGCTGCTTCGCCTTCATGAGGCATCACAGAATAGAGAATGCTGACTGTACTCATCATGATATTGCCTTCTAGACCAGAAATCCACCTGAGAAAAAAATGTGGAAGTTGGTAACCAACTAACTGGCACCTTTTATCCTGTTCTGTAACACTGAAACCATTGGTTCCTGAGAGAGCATTCATCCCAGATGGATGAAGAAATTCCGAAGTGGGTGTGAAATTAGGATTTTCATAAAGAAAAAATGGTCAGTTTAAACAGATTTCTGCACCTTAAATGAAGGTGGTGATGCTGAAAAGTTTGAACTTATCAAGTTTATGTTAAAGGAGATAGAAAAAGGATGTATGTAGAAGCACATTTTGTGTATTTTCATTGGTCTAATGAGGATTATCCAGAGAATATTTATTTATTTATTTATTTTGCTATGTATTATTTCCACTTCTGTACTGCCCCATTAATGTTATCACTCTCTGGGCAGTTTGCAACTTATAATAAAATCATGCAATAAAAAACATGTAATAAATAAACATTAAAAAGTGCAGTGAACTCTGTTACTACCTAAAACAGTGTTTCCCAACCTTTTTTGAGTCACAAATTTCTTTTATAATAGCAAGCAACTTGTGACCCCATCCTGCCATATTTGCATAAAAGGCATTTTTAATAGGGTAAAGAAAACACATTAAAATAGATTTATTTAAAATATAATTCTACCCTAATATATTAATAATTAATAATACACAATTATGGGGGGCTGTAAATCTGCCTCTACCAGACAAAATTTGAAAAGGAAAAAAATATATCAATATGCTTTGAGTTTAATTTGCCTTTTGGCTAACACTCCGGCTTGAAGGTCTGATATAAGTCCCCCAAAGGTGAATGCAAAGGAGCTGAGAGAAATGAGCAAGAGCAGCTCTTTTTTTGAGGTGGGGGGAGTTGGAGCAATGCATATGCATAAAAGGAAAATCCACTCAATGGGGTGCAGAAATAACTAAGAACTCTAGGTTGCCCGCAATTCCAGCTCAAAATTAAAATTCTCTTTCGTCCAAGAAGATGAAAACAGCATTATGTAAACCATATTTAGTATAATAAATATAAAAATCGCAACTAGACTCTGTCTAGAGGGGCGGGGTAGAAATCAAATAATAAATAAAATAAAATAAAAATAACTGTGACAATCCCCAAGAAAACACTTTGCAACACCCTTGGGAATCCTGACCTCCAGGTTAGAAACCTGTGAACTAAAACTATGAACCTGCCTTCAAACAGAAATACCACACATTAAAACCCATTTGAGCATCTCAGGTCAATATTCAAGGCAGCTTTATATAATTCTGTCTTAAATAGGTTCTTGAAAACTGAGAGGGATAGAGCATGGTGAACCTCTGTAGGAAGCTTATTCCCGAGGCAAGGGGCCACCATTAAGAAAGCTTTGGCTTCTTTTGGACTCCTTGGGTGTTATAATTTTTAACATCAAGGACTGCAAAGATGGGTAGCTGTTTTGTGGGAGAGATATTCTGCCAAATATAGAGGTCCTAAAGCATTAAGGGTCATAACTGTTTAAATTGTTTAAATTTAAGCACTTTAAATTGATTGTTTTAAAAGTTCATCATGCTCTAGCACATTGAAATCATCGATAACTATCTCTCCTATTAATATTTATTTATTTATTTAATTTATATGCCGCCCACTCTACCCAGAGGTCTCTGGGCGGCTTACAATAATTAAAATTCAATACAATAATATCTATGGATATCTATCAATAATATCTATGGAACTGAAGCCTAACTTTCTCAATCGTGCTCTGATTCTAGTGCCGGTAACTGAAAATCACAAAAAAATTGTATTTGGATCACTGATTAGAATGTATCTTTGGATAGCACATGAATCATGGTTAGAAAGCAAGCAGGAAGGAAGGATGATACTGTGGCACCTTCAAGACTAATTGGCCTACTGTGACATGAGCTTTAAAAAGTAATAGCTTATTTTATGCTGAGAAAGTGACACTTGATGGCACTGGATCTGAAGTATGACACATATGGGCTGGATCCAAGACATTGTTTCAACAGGGAACACAGCCACATCCCTATAAATGAGCATTGTTTTCTGATGCATTTGTAATGACAGACTGTGGAGTTGTTTACTCGTTAAGTCGTGTCCGACTCTTCATGACACCATGGATCAGAGCACACCAGGCCCTCCTGTCTTCCACTGCCTCCCGGAGTTTGGTCAAATTCAGATTAGTAGCTTCGATGATGCTGTCCAATCATCTTGTCCTCTGTCGTCCCCTTCTCCTCTTGCCTTAAAACTTTCCCAACATCAGGGTCTTTTCCAGGGAGTCTTCACTTCTCATTAGATGGCCAAAGTACTGGATCCTCACCTTCAGGATCTGTCCTTCCAGTAAGCAGTCAGGGTTGATTTCCTTCAAAATGGATAGGTTTGTTCTCTTTGCAGTTCAGGGGACTCTCAAGAGTCTCCTCCAGCATCACAATTCAAAGGCATCAATTCTTTGGCGGTCAGACTTTATGGTTCAGCTCTCACTTCCATACATCGCTACTGGAAAAACCATAGCTTTGACTATGCGGACCTTTGTCGGCAAGGTGAAGTCTGCTTTTTAAGATGCTGTCTAGGCTTGTCATCGCTTTCGTCCCAAGAAGCAGACGTCTTTTAATTTTGTGGCTGCTGTCACCATCTGCAGTGATCATGGAGGCCAAGGTAAAATCTGTCACTGCCTCCATATCTTCCCCTTCTATTTGCCAGGAGGTGATGGGACCAGCGGCCATGATCTTAGTTTTTTGATCTTGAGCTTCAGACCATTTTTGCACTCTCCTCTTTCACCCTCATTAAGAGGTTCCTTAAATCCTCCTCACTTTCTGTCATCAAAGTGGTATTATCTCCATATCTGAAGTTGTTGATATTTCTTCCGTCAATCTTAATTCGGTTAGGGATTCATCCACTCCAGC